AGCAGCATAATAATTTATAGAATTAACAAAACATAAAAACGTTCATGTTCAAAACGGTCTTGAAGAGAAAAGATTTACTAATAGCAGTAAAATGTGATTAGAAAAACAACAACAAAAACACATTTTAAAAACGTTTGAGTTCTCAAAATCCATTTCATTATTGAGTTTTCTTTATTTTTAATTATTACTATCGATTTTCTTGTGTTCCGTTGATGAAAGGATTTTGGTTTAGCAATGATTTTTCACAAATTTGAGTCATCTATGTGGTTCGTTGTGTGAATATGTAATGCTAAATGTAATGTGTGTTATGCTAAAGCCGATATTTCAATTATTTGGAAGTAGTTTTTGCACTCCATTACGATTCGTGAACGTTGACCTTTCTGTATCTGAACTTACAAGGCGTTGAGAGTAATTTTAGTCTGTTCATTTAGATTGACGATCTTGGCCTGCTGAAACTAATCATTTAGATTGACGAGTCTTGGCCTGCTGAAACTAATCATTTAGATTGACGAGCTTGGCCTGCTGAAACTAATCATTTAGATTGACGAGCTTGGCCTGCTGAAACTAATCATTTAGATTGACGAGCTTGGCCTGCTGAAACTAGTCGAGTGTTTATATTTTGTTAATTAAATAGATTGACGAGCTTGGCCTGCTGAAACTAATCATTTAAATTGACGAGCTTGGCCTGCTGAAACTAATCATTTAGATTGACGAGCTTGGCCTGCTGAAACTAGTCGAGTGTTTATATTTTGTTAATTATTTAATCTTTTGTGGGTAATTATGCTGATATGTTGTTACTGTTTTAAAAAAGTAAAATCTTCTAAGCTTAAACTTACCAGCTAAATAAAGCGATGAACAGACACTATGGGGTTTCTATTTATTTTAGATCAAAGCCACGTTTGGCTCTCTGCTATGCACTCCGCGGAGAATTGAACCCTGGATTATAGCGCTGTAAATCCATAAACTTACCGCTGACCCACTGGGGTGGGCTAGGAGTTTCTTACAAAAACTAAGTAAGGTGGATACTATCCATGTCAAGTACAAACAAATACGAAGTAATTGAGAAAAGTCAAAGATCATCTTTTTATTTCGACTTTATGTTCTGAATTTACGATAATGTTACAAATCAATAACAAGTGAAACGAGTCTGAAACTATAAAAAAACTTTAATTTTAATTCAAGTTCAAATACAGATCCCCACATTGTATTTATGATGTTATTAAATCAACATTAATTTATTCATTTGTTTTTACAATAACTTCTGTCCAAAAACTACAATTTAATATTAATACCTCTAAATAAAATAATGTATTTGTTTGAATTTTAGTCGATCCAGTCAATCAAATATTCTTTTTAACAGACAAGAAGACACACATAAAAACTAAATTAAACAAAATAATATTAAGATATTATGTGACACATTGTCTGTTGTAACCAGTATTACTTCTGAAAAAATACTGTGGTAAATAGTCCGATATAAGCAATGATAGTTCAACATATAATGTGGGAATTTGTCTAACGTAAACAATATTAGTTAAACATATAATGTGAGAATTTGTCTAACGTAAACAACATTAGTTCAACAAATAATGTGGGAATTTGTCTAACGTAAACAATATTAGTTCAACAAATAATGTGGGAATTTGTCTAACGTAAACAATATTAGTTCAACAAATAATGTGGGAAT